AATTTGTAAAGGGGCAAAATTTCATAAAAGAAGAATTAATATTCTTCTCTTTTTGAGAATATTAATGGCTGAATCAATTTTCTATTTCTCTGTTACAAAAACCAAGAAACCATTTTGTTAAATTGAAATGTTTCTCTAAGATAAAACAAATTTCAAGTACCCCAAAAGCAAATAGATCCTGAAGTATTTCTGTAGGTCAGTGGAGCGTCTATTATAATTCATACAAGCAAATTCAACTTCAAAAACTACTCTGCATTGTGGGATTTCAGTTTGGGAAGTTAATTCTTCCATTGAAGGCAGCTTTTCGTTTCCCTGAGCCAAACAGAAACAACCACCTTGTTCTCAGGCAGACCTACGGTTGCTGGACAGCACCAAATTAGTGCAAGAAAATGTTTTAAAAGTAGATGTTTGGTGTAATATAGTGTGTGTACACCAATAATATAGGTAGTTGTTATGATTAACTTAGTTTTCTAAGGCTAATTTATTCCCGGCTAGAGACTTCCAAGAACCTCCAAGATAAAGAAACAAAGTGGGTAGGCCCCTTCTCCTCCTGGTCCCTGGAAACGTGGCCACCAAAGAGGGAGACTTCAGATTCCACCAGCAAGTGTGACTGAGCCCTTTCTCTTTTAGGTTGGTTAGTCTTCCCAGGAAAATTATTCTTTCCTAGATGTATATAGTCCATACTATCTCAGAAGGCTCTTGACCTTGCACAGGTAGACATGAGCCTTCCAACATGAACCTTCAAAATATTTTGGGTATGGTTACAGAAATGCCATGGTGGTTTTTATTCTATAATATGATATTCATGGCACCATGAAACGATTTGCTTTTCTGCCTCAGATAACACAACCCACAAACCATAGCATGGCTTCTCTCTGCTCCAAAACCCATCTTGCCTCCTTGGCCCGAAACTTCAGAAAAACATAGATATTTGGAGACATTAGTGGCCTCTCCCCAGTTCAGTTCCCTTGATGTATATAAACAATGGTGGAAAGTATGGAAATAGTGGCAGAGGTGACCTGAGATGACTCCAGGAGAGTGACAATAGCTAGAGGACAGGATTGTGAGGGGACTGAACTCCATGGCAGGGGGAAGGGGGCCTCCATGGGCTGCATTTCTCTCCTGGCTCTTTCCCAAGGGGCCACTTTTCCCACTCAAACTTCTGGGTTAACAGATCCCGATGCTTCAGGCCAGTGTGTCTTTACTTACCCAGATGATGGACACCTGGTCTACCTTTCCTCTCTTTGTCCATCAGATTTTACCTCTTTCCTAAATGCATCCTCAGCCACCTCAGATTAAGTGGCTGACCCTCTTTGATGGCTATAATCTTCATTCTTATCACTCCTTACTGGGTAGATGTCCTGCTAAAGGCAGGGGCCAACCTTAATGATGTTTGCAGTTTCAATGAATAATAATGTACTAGCGGGAGCTAAATGGATGTTCATTGACTTGTATAATTACCATCAGTCCATTAAGTGTGGGTAAACATTTGTGTAGCCTCTCCAATAATCAACCTCCATGCAAGTGCAATTTAAAAAGTGAGCTTCCTACTCTCAGCTAAAATCTTAAAACAAGCCAGCATTCTTATTCTTCCCAACAAAGGAAATGAACATGTTGGGTACAGACAAGATATTAATGATTCTTTGTCCACTAGACTTTGGTAATTGTTACAAAACCATTAATGGAAAACCCTCAGGTCGAAAGAAAACCCTTATGAAATTCAAAGGCAGAATTCTGTTGTGTTTTTTTTTTTTTTCCAGGAGCATCCCTGTTTTCATGGCTTTATTTATAACTTAAGCCTGGTTGTCTTAATGCATGGGAATGCTCAGTCCCTTGAGGCAAAGCTACTTTATTCTGGCAAGCAGAGCAATTGCTGTTTTGATAGATATATTTCATTGTAACTGTCCTTTCCCCCTGGGTTACCAAGAGCCTCTTGGGAATGCATGTAGAGAAAAATGGTGGCCAAGAAATACGGCTGAGATGGATGACAAAGTTCGTTTATGGCACATGCTCTGTTCTGCTAACTTCCATGTCACCCACCCCGCCACCATTTGCTGGAGAACTAAGGAATTTTAGGGTATTGGAGCATTACGGAATATACATTTTGAGAAACATAGCGAATAGGTCTGAATTTAGAATGTTAATTCAAAGTAGACTAGATGGATATTAACTATATCAGGACCCGACTTGCATCCTGTAAGCACAGACGGTATTCGACACACTCTTTTTCTGGATTGCCCAGTGGAACCAAATGATGATAACCAACCACCAACACCAAGCAGGGTGCCCTCCCAGCACTGACTTAATTTCTAACAGAAGTGTGTGTATTTTTGCATATTTCCCTTGCTCATGTCCTTGTTCATCTGGTCATCATGGCCACAGACCATGTTCCCTTTGCATCTCCCAAGGATTGGCTTTCTTCCCCTTCTCTACCCAGCACAGGCCAGCAGGCACGATTTTGGAGGAATTGATGATGGGAGATTCTGCTCCCAGGAGCAGGCTTAGTGAACAGCCTGGCTGAGGCTTCAGAGCCCACCCACAGATGCATTGCTACCCTTCTCACCCAGAGAAGGCGAATATGTTATAGGTCCCCAGACATATTTAGACATGGTCACGTTCAACACACAGATGTTCTTTTTCACTGTCTCTGTCTTGCACGTGTGAAGCAATCAGAGAGCTCACCACTGGCACATTTCCCCCCTTTCCCTTCCTCCATTTCCAGGTTGCAAAAAACCCAAGAAGTAACAACCAAGCCTACTTTGTGAGAGCAAGTCTAGTGCAAGTCATAATCACACGGATAGAGTAGGACGGTTATGAATGGAAAGTAGGTGAGAAAGAGCCTTCTTTTCTTCCCTCCAAAGAATAGAAAATATGACTGTTGGATCCCTCTTCTAAAGCTGTTTTGCTCTTCCTTCTAGTACATTCTCAAAAGGCCTGATCACAAAAGCAGGAGGGCAGTCTTGCTACACGTCCTTTGCTGTGTGCTGGGGAGGGCCCAGTGTGGTGTCCTTCTCTCAGCAGCTGACACACCAGGACTCTCCAAGGCAAGGGACAAGCTCCAAACTCCAGCAAAGACCCCAAGTTACCACAAAGGTAGTTTATATGTGCTGAGTGACAGGACTCGAAATTCTAAGAATGTCTGAAGAGAGTCATTGCTTGGGCTGTAGTTTCCTCGCCCATCCTGCTCTCTAGGGCCCAGTCTACACCTAAGGTTCTGTGACCGTGGAACAACTCTCAAAGCAAAATGTTGTAAGAATGGCAAAATACCAAGAGGCTTGTTACAGTGGACTTCACCTAGAAGCATTTTCCTTTTATTTTATTTATTGATTGCATGTTGCTGGGCTTTGAACCCAGGGCCTTATGCATGTTAGGCAAGTTCTCTACCATTGAGACCCATCCCCAGCCCCATCATTTTCCTTTTATTGTGGAGCACCAAAAGTAAGTTAACATTGAGCTGGGCATGGTGGTTCACACCTGTGATCCCAGAGGCTTGGGAGGCTGAGGCAGGAGGATTGCGGGTTCAAAGCCAGCTTCAGCAAAAGCAAAGCGCTAAGCAACTCAGTGAGACCCTGTCTCTAAATCATAGTATATATATAAAGAGGCATCAGGAGATGCCTCTTTTTCCAGGTTGCTGTCTACACTGTCTCTATGCAATAATCAGCATGGTTGCATGGTCAAGGAAATCTGCTAAGCCAGGTTGTTTTCCTGCTGTGCATGGGGGTGAATGTGGAGGCAGACAAAAGCCTTTTGACATCAGTAAGCTTCTGACTGCACCTGTCTTTCAGCTGCTGAGTGGGAGAACATTCCACATGATGGCAGCATCGGTTGAGCTGTGTGCCAGTCTGAGAATTCAGAGCCAATGTGGTGGAAGAGGAGGAACGTCAGTTTCATCTGAACCCCTGTGGGGTTATTATCATAACAGAAGCACAATACTACGGCTAGAATAGGAGCAGGAATAGTGCTAATTGTGCTTTCAAACAGCATTGTCAGAATATAAATTTGGATGGCATTTATAGAATGTGAGAAATTAATCAAAGAGCTTTCAAGGC